TTTATGTTCGTATGAGGTTTCTACAGAATTATTTTATAAGAATGTGGTTAAGTACTTTGGTGTCCCAGCTGATATTGTGAGTGATACAGATACTCGATCCACAGGCAGATTTTGGATAGTTTTGTTCAATATGATGAGAATTGATCTGAAATTTTCTACTGCAAATCATCCACAAACAAAAGGGCAAACGAAAAGGATTAATCACTTGCTAGAAGAATATTTGAGGCACTATGTGACGGCGAACCAGTGAAATTGGGTTCCATTACTTAACACTGTGCAGTTTTGCTATAATCTTAACAATAATAGATCGAAGGATGATTCTTGTTATTTTTTGGATAGTATAAAGATGTTGTTTGCTCACTTAGATAATATAAGTTGAGGGATGACTTTAGCCCCATTCCCTTGGTGAGAATAATAAATTTAAAAAGTAATGATATGGTTATAAATTTTACTTTTATATGAACTAAATGACCAGTAGAGATAAATGTAGAGTTGTTTTAACAAAATATAAATTTGTGTGTCAATTTTTATCATATTATGAAAATCTAAAATCATGATTTTTTAAAAATATAAAATTTCATCTCATGATATAAAATCATGAGATAAAATCAACGTAAATTATATACCCAAACATTAATTTGATCTTACAATCTCATATCGTAATATAACAACACATGATCAAACGCCTTGCTTAATATAAAGAATCAAATAAAAGTGGCAAAGTAAATTTAACTTTATCATCATACAAATATACTTCATAAGAAATCAATTACTAATTTAAGCATTATTCCATTCTCATAGATTTTGCCGCTCCAATCATAACCTCGATCATGCAACATATTTTTGGCCATGGATAAAGCCTGCACAAAGATTATACCGTCTCAATTTTGTTTAGTTATTTTCAATTTATGATATATAATAAGTTATAGATATCTATTTAATGGTAAATCATATCACTATGAGTAAATTGAACTTTTAAAGTTGATTTTTTACTATTTATAAAAATGTACTAATTTATTTTGGGACAAATTAAAAAAAATAAGTAATATAAATTAGAAAAAATATATAAAAGGAAATAATTAACAAAAATATTTTTTTATATTTTAATTTATTATCTGATTTAATTTAACATAAAATAAAAAAATAATATTAAAATAAAGGTATGTAAATCTTCAAAATATCTCGTAAATATATAAAAAGAAAAATAATAGAGAAATCATCATTTTGTTAGAACGTATCACACGTTGAATCATTTCTGGTCTCCTGCTCTCATCTGTATACCCTTCTCTTGTGACACGTTTTCTTGTTTTTCCCTTTTACTGCCACGTTACAGGTTTTATAACTCAGTTCGTCAACAAGATAAAGCTTAAAATCATATACTCATTCCGTCTCATTTTATATAAGTTAATTTAATTATATATGAAATTTAAATAAAAAAAATAATTAAAATTTATGATCGCAAATAAATAATATACCTTTCAGTTAATTTAAAATTAAATAACTACTTAATATAATATAAGAGTGTATCATTTTTTTTAAAAACTAACTAAAACAAATGAGTCGTATAAAATGGAATAGAAGCTAAGGGAGTATATATCTTGTATAAAATGAATACATGTCCTAAATTATACAAATGTTTCATATTGTTCATGGTGTAATAATTTCATTTCTCCCTTTTTGTTTGTGAATAAAATAAGAGTTCCAAACTTTGCATGGATACAAGAAATAGAAGCATTAGAATAGCAATGTTACCATGGCTAGCTCATGGTCACATAACACCTTTTATAGAGCTAGCCAAAGCACTTTCAAATAGAAATTTCTACATCTACATATGTTCTACACAAGTCAATATCAATTCATCTAAACAAACAATATCTGAAAAATACTCAATTTCAATAAAAATAGTAGAAATTCATCTTCCAAATCTACCAAACCTTCCTCCTCATTACCACACAACTAATGGCCTTCCACCTCATCTCATGTCAACTCTAAAAAATGCAATGGACATGGCCCAACCTAGTTTTTACCATATCCTTACTACTTTGAAACCAGATTTGGTTATCTATGATTTTCTTCAACCATGGGTTCCAACTATGGCTGCTTCACTTAATATACCTTCTGTTCTGTTTTTAACCCCTGGTGCAGCAGCAGGTTCTTATCTTTTTCATATTGGTAAAAAGAAACCTGTTTCTGAATACCCTTTTCCAGCTATTTACTTGAGAGATTATGAGTATGAGAGAAATAGATGTATGTTTGAACCAACTGAAGAGGATGAGGGTAATGATGGATTTACAGATACTCAGAGAAGAGTCAATGGATGCATAGATGGATCATCTCAAATCATATTGATCAAGTCAATTAGACAACTAGAAGGAAAATACATTGATTATCTCTCTAATGTACATAATAAGAGGTATGTTTCTCTTATACACTTTTTAGTCAAACTTCGTCCCTATTTATTTCTCTTTCAACAAGAATAACTTAGTTTCAGGTTTACTTTTTCTTATTTTTAATTATATTATAATATAATATAAGATTCACATGTGTTACATTACTATTAAGGGATATTTTAGTCATTTAAATATTTAAAAACAATCTGTAATAATTTATATATTTAGAAATTATGGAAAAAAGAAGAGTACAAATCAAAATAATCAATAATATAAACAACATATAAAATAATTAATCATTAAATTAAAATTTGATTGACTCTCTAAATTTAATATGTGTCACCTAATTAGGGCAAAGGAAATAACATATATTATTTAAAATGACTAAAAAGTATTATAAACTAAGTAATTAACCACTTAAAAATTTAAAAGACATAAAATATTTGATATTCTATAGGTGGCACATAAATTGTAACATAAGGAGTTTAGTTACATAAAATATTTGAAATTTTATTTAATATCACATAAATTGAGACAAGAGAATAATAGCACGGACCCCAATGTCTAATATCTTTAATATTTTTTCTGTCCCATTTTAGGTGAGGTAATTTGATTTGGCACGGAGTTTAAGAGAGAAAAACAGATTTTTAAAATTCATGATAGAAATTTGTGTGGCTATAAATTATTTTATTAAGGATAAAATAGATATTTTAAAATTAAATTGTTAGTTAATATATAAATATGTCGTTTTTTTTAAAATTGACTAAAAAGGAAAGCAAGTCCTGGGTTAAAAGTTTTGATTCCGCCACGAGTCAAAATTGAAGCTATTTAAACTTAGGTGAAATGGAGAGTTACTAAAAAAAAGCTATGGCACTTGCAGGTATGTTCCAGTTGGACCTCTAGTTAGATCACCAGAAACAGAGACTGAACATTTAGGGATCATGGACTGGCTAAACAGTAAAGAAAGATGTTCCACAGTTTTTGCTTCATTTGGGACTGAATATTTCCTATCCAAGGAAGAAACAGAAGAACTGGCTCTTGGCCTAGAGTTTAGCAAGGTGAATTTCTTGTGGGTAATTAGATTCCCAGTTGGACAAAATATGAACCTTGAAGAAGCTCTTCCAAAGGGTTTTCTTGAAAGAGTTGGAAACAGAGGAAAAGTAGTACAAGGATGGGCACCACAGTTAACAATATTAAGCCATTGGAGTATAGGAGGATTCGTGAGTCACTGTGGATGGAGTTCTGTAATGGAAGGACTTAAAGTTGGTGTTCCAATTATAGGAATGCCAATGCATCTTGATCAGCCATTAAATGCAAAGTTGATAGTTGATGCAGGGGTAGGGGAAGAGGTTGTTAGGGACAAAAATGGAAATGTTGATAGGCATGAAGTGGCAAAGGTTATAAGGGAAGTGGTGGCAGAGAAAAGTGGGCAAAGATTGAGAAAAAAAGCAAGAGAGTTCAATGAGATAATGAAGAGTAATGGAGAGAAAGAAATAGATGAAGTTGTCAAAGAATTGCTGAACCTTTGTAACCCAATAACAAGACAGGACTCTGTTGAAATGCTTTGCTAAATTTTCTCTTTCCTTTTTGTTTTTTGTAATTTACTTTTTTCCAACAACAAATAATGGAGACAACAACACAGATAGATTGCATTGGATGTTATGCAATACTTACGGGGCTGTTCAGTCCGGAGTAAGTTATTTTGGAATTAACAATCTAAAGTTCATATATATGGGATAATTTATTTCATTACTAAAGTATAAATGATGACATAAATAATTTTAGGATTATCTAATAATACTTTCGATCAAATGTTGGATAAAATAATATTGAAATTATTATACCTTCCACGGCTCAAGTTAATGTCGATATTTTTGCAATGCTGTGATATCTTTGCCATCACATACCTTCTTATGGTTGGTTCGACTTGTTTCCACTCGCTAACCGGTTGGCAAAACTTTTTTTTTTTCTTTGGTTAACTAAGGCGAACAGTACGTATGCAAATGTTCACAATTGCAGTACAAGCATTGACTTACTACTGATATACAAAAGAGATACTGCTAGAAATAGCGGTTTTTCTCACAAATTCGCCGGAAATTTACACTATTTTTTCATTTATTTTCGCAAATGCATATTTAGGATTTTAAAAGGATGGGGATAATATTATAAAATTTAAGATATTCGATTTGATCTTTAGTTTTTTATTACTAAATCTGTTTAATCTTTTAAAATTTTAACTCTAAAATTAGTTCTTATCTATTCAAATAGTAATATATAGCTATATTTTGAGTTTTTGACCAAAATAATATACTTTTTCAAAATTTTACACAGCTAGTATAAACATGATTCTCAGTAACATTTTATGTTATATTTTATTTTAAAAAATTCAATGACAAAAAGACAAAAATCTGACAAAGTAAACGGACATAAAATATTATTGTCAATAACGTTTTATAATTTGTTACTGTGAGGCACGTTTTACAGCTATACGGCATACCAATTCTTGCGTCTTTTGTCAGCTATAGATGTAGAAAGAAGAGTTTTGGAAACTCACCAAGTATGTTTGCCAAGTTATTTTACTTGTACCAATTTATGAACTAGAAAAAGGAACATATGAACAGTAAAAGGAAGAACAGGAAAACATTAGATGTTTATAGTTGATCATAGATGAAAATCACAAAAACAGAATGGAAGCAGACAGTTCTACACATGATTACCCCTCGTCGGCCGGCAGACATGATTTCTCTTCCGAGCATGTTCTTGGTTATGGTGCTGTGTACGACAAGCATATCCATACCAACAGTCTTGCCTTTGAGCATCCTCTGGAGCTAAATGCTGACACAAAAAAAAAAAAAAAAAAACTTACAATACCGGATACAATGTTCAAGATTTACAAGATACTCCCTTTGTTTCATTTTACATGGTGGTTTTTAATTGGACATCCATCAACTTTAACAAAGAAAAGAGGACTTCTGAATTTACCCTTGAACCATAGGCGGGACCAGGATTTTAAGCTTATGGGTTTGGAATTCTAATCCTCTTTAAGTGGCTGGGTTTCTAAATTATAAATTGTATATATTCAATGGACAATACAGGGCTTAGATCAGAGCTAGTAGGTTTGACCTAACCTATAACCGAAAGCCTAACGAACTTGTGGTCTTAAACATGTCATGACATTTCTACGACTATAAGCGCATGTCATTAATAATAACATGAGAAGTTTAAAGTTAAAGAGTAACCAAATGTGAAACAAATGTAATCTATTTTCTTAACAAACTTAAAAAGGAAAGAGCCATATAAAATGGAACTGAGGGAATAGTTTTATGGGGCGGGAGTTTGTGATATGCAGTGCTATGCTAGATAAAAGCTTATTATATATTATAGGGAAACTCAACTTTCTAATAAAAGATCCCTTTTACATTTGAAGAAAATCCACAAGAAATAGTGGAAATAACTGAAGAATCAACAAGGATCAGTGGCAACTTACATGGCTTATCAGTGTAACTCTGAACCAATACAAAAGGAATGAGACTAACTTGTCATAGCACTCACTGCATATAGAGACAAAGATAATCAGCGAGAAGAATTGGTTCACTGAATGAAAGCTCAAAATTATATTGAATAACAGACATTTTCCTAACTTTCAGGGAAAAGTAGCCACAAAAGTCAAATCAGAAGCCATCAGGTGCAAGATGACACAATTTCCAGAGATACAAAATTCGCATTCAATATCTCCAAGAAGAAACCTACTCACCTACAAGTAGGCGTACGAGAAGTTATCATCTCGGCATGATTCAATGGCATTCTTGTGCGATCTGAAGGAAACAGAAGCACATTTTTAATAGCAGGACAATCAATTTAAGGACAATATTTAAAGAACCTAATCAAGTGCCTTTTTTCCTGATTCACCAACTTTAAATCTAAGCTCATGTTGGTTTCAAACGAGGACTATCAAAGACATGACAAGTAGCAACCACTATTCCTTTTTGATAGGTCGAATTGTAACCAATTGATGTATTGTTTTCACCTCCACTATTTATTATATCACGCTAATCGAGAACATGGTGTGCCATCTATCCAGTATGATTGTTCAAAACTTCAATTTCCCATTTATTTAGGTGAACGAGGAAAAGACATTATTTCTCCTTTAGCTAATAAGATGTAGAAATTTAGAAACAAAGTGGACAATGCTACAAGTCGACTTTGGGTTTAAAGATACTTTCCTTTGATAAAGTAATCAATTTCATTTAAGAAAATGGCAAAAACATGCCTGTATGACAAGGAGTACACTAGAAAATAGACAACTTCATAACAAAACACAGTTTTCTGCAAATGACACCCAACCTTCTATACAACATTAAGGAACCTCATGGGCACCAAAAGAAAATAAGGGAATATTTTACCCACAATACCCAATAGCCCACTGTGCTGCTGAAGACAGTGTAAAACAAAGTCTTAGTCACAAGTTTAATACGATTGATCTCCCCCCCTCAAAAAAAGGGAAGTGACAATGTTTCTTGGAATGGATGAAGCCAGTGCAATTCATACATATAATGTCACTTGCAGTAGTAAACTGGACAAAGAGAAAGCAAGGACTAAGACACATAGAAGCTGTAGTTACTACAGCAATCAGGAGAAATCCTGCTTCTAGTAGGTACACACTCTGAAAAAAGTGTCTATACTTGTTTCCATGAAGAGAAGTACACGCTGAAAAACAATGTATATATTTGTTTCCATGAAGAGATAAAAATTCTCCAGACTGCCAATTTTTCAAAATGTTTTTACCTCCTATTGGATCTTCCGGGCTAGAGGTGGTACCTTTTTGTCTGAGAGGTGGAGGTGAGGGTCAAACAATAACAGTTGACTATAGGCTGACAGATATATGCATATAGAGAGAGAGGAATAAACCATAACTAATATCAACGACAGGACGAAAAAGGAACTGATTCTAAAGTTTCCAACAATCAATTTACCTATCTCCCGCTTATCAAACTTCAAAATCCATTCAGCTACCACATCTTGCAACGACCTTCCCATCTGTCTAATGCATCTTTCAGTGATCTATTAGAGGATCACACAGAGTCAGCAGATCTAGAATTCCAACAAAATTATTGAGAATAATAATAATGCATCAAAAGCACCATAAAGAAAACAAAGAAGCCATACATTTTGTTCATAATGATTCTTCTCATGTGCCAAGGAGGGGATTCTAGAAACTGTACGTTCTGCAATCTGCAAAGACATGTGCATTAATTTGACATATTCTTTAAAAAGCAAGACTTCACAAGTAAATGCTGGAAGAAACTCAACAAACGTATTACCATCATTAAGAAGAAAAAGAACAGGAAAAAGGGGAAAGCAATCAAATGAAGAAACAAGGAGAAGAAATGTCAAATTACAGATCATGTCTTCTCGTTGACTCATATAATAAGGACCACCGACCAACTTGGAACCTTTTTTTTGCGATGGTGGTATCCAGGCTAGTTTAGGCGGCACCTCAACTATTCAACCAACTTGGAACTCTTTTAGTCACAGAAATGCCAGTCATGGAGTTATTTCCACCCAAAAGTGACTGGAGACAAGGTTATCCTATGTTGTTCGGACTCTTCAAAAATGTCAATGGATGCATGTCGAATTCGCCAAAAGTAGTGTATTTTTGGAGAATCCGACACGAGGGCGGCATCAAAAGTGAAGAGTCCACGCAACTAACCGGTTATCATTCTAAAGAAATTACAAGGATAAGCAATGAGAAGATATAATCACTGGCCTTTGCACCTATTCAGGTTGGCAATTATTTGTAACTGGCAAAATCAGTGCAATTTCATCCCTAGACCATTAGGTATTTTGAATGTACACTATATTCTGAAGTTTTAAAGCCAAGCTCCTACAAAACATACAGATGTCTGAGTAGAACACAATAAGGTCCTCTTACAGACCCGTGAAATAAATTTCTAAGAATTCAATTCCAACTTTACGTAACATACCATGTTCAGTTGGAAGTGATGCTCTAAACATCAAAGGTTTCTAACCAGTATAGCAAAACATAGTTTGCACAAATCAGAAAAGTAAACCAGATTTAAAGTAATTACAGGCTTGAACGTTTCAGGACTGCAGAGTGGATGTGAGTTGCTTCCATTAACTCCCTGCGAATGCCAATAAGCAGCACAAAATGCTCGATCACATCCCAAACCTACAAAGCCATACCGCCTTAGGTCTCACACACTAAACACTAAAGAGGAACAGAGACACTGATATTTCAAGTTGAGGAAAGGAAACGCATACAATCACAAAAACGCAGGTGAGGACTAGATATTTCCTAACAAGAACATAATAACGAAGAGTTTGTAAGCATAGTACTTACAGTGTTGTTGCACTCCAACGTTTGATCGAGAGGGCATCATTCCTCCACATGCTTGACATTGAAGATGAACTGTGCTTTCATTGCACTGATAACCTCCATATTCAGTGTCTGAGTGTAAGCTTCTCAATGTTAGAAAATCGAAGTACATAATTTTAGATGGTTTTAGTTCAATGGTTGAAATACAGAATAGAAACCATAATAAATTTAAAGTCACAAGAGAATAGTATTAGATTCTCTCAAGCTTTACATGAGATTTACATTGTGCAGTAACTCAACAGAGCATTTTTTTCTGAATAAGTCAACATGTTTCACTTTATATCAGTTCCCAAATTGCAAATAACACTAGATTGAGGGAAAATGCAATTACCACACTGAGGGCATGAATGCTCCCACCTATCTGCTGCATCTGATGGAGAACGTTCCCTCTTCCTGCGACTTTTTCTACTGCTGAGGACCTGCTCATATGGGTTAGTATGTTTACCAAGTTTAAAAGAAAACAAATTGTTGAGTGTTTATGATACTACAACAACAACAACATTATATCCAGTGAAATCCCACAAGTGGGGTCTGTGGAGGGTACAGTGTACGCAAACCTTTACCCCTACCTCATGGAGGTAGAGGTTGTTTCCGAAGGACCCTTGGCTCAAGTGCAGCTAAACAGAGAAGTTATGAGAAGGAAAATTGGCAGCGAAGAAACCATGGCAACTAATAAGGAAAGCAATACAGGGCATACAGAAAAGGAACAGTAACAACAGTAAAATAATGCGTTTATGATCCTAAATATTTAATAACATGTTAATTGGTGTAATTATGGCATATGATAGACAGTAATCAAAACAGACCACTTAAAATTGAAGCGGAACTCCTAAACATCTACTGCACGGAAAGATAGTTACAATATATGGAACAGCAATACCTGACAAGCCAGTGTAAAGATCTTTGGAAGCACAGGAGCAAGCATATAATAAGAATTGGGAAAGAGCACTAACAAAGCCTTACACAGTAGCTGCAATTTACGAAGGCATCTCATATGGTAAGTTAGACTACTTACAAGTGGTGACTTTATTGATGCATTGGAATCAAGCAGCACAATATCTTCACTCGAGCGTTTCAAAGAAGGATCAGCAAGCAGTATATCCTGCATAATAAGGGCAAAAACTTTTAACAACAACTGACAATGAATTAAAACATGCACCTAATGCTTCCACAAAAAAAGATATGCTTAGATTAGGCAAAAAGTTTTTTAATAGAAAAGGCAGAACATAACAGAATTATAACTTGAACAGGATATCACCTATTAAAAAGGATTTTAATCCTAAAACTTAAAAAAAATTTAAATGAAAAGTAACTTAAAAAGGACAGTTTGTCCAACTGGAAATAAGGGCAAAAGTAAGTCAATTTCACGTCTTACTTCCTCAATGTTATGCAAAAAATGGTTCCTTCCAACAAAATGTACAACTGCTCTGCAATGGGGACATAAAACACTTGAACGCCTCTCTTGGGACCTCCTTAACCACTCTGAAAAGCATCCATTACTGGAGATTGAAGAACATAAATGATAGCACATCTAGTCAAGGATCAAAATCCAAATGGTTCTTCAAACCACTAAAAGATCTAAACCACTAACCAGAAATTGTGAAGGCAAGGTGCAGCTGTGACAACATCATGCCAGATGTTCAAGCAGATACAGCATTTTGCATACTCGACATCGAGAGAAATCTAGCATAACAATAGTCCATGTGACACAACATAAACTGATAACAGCGAATAGATACTGCTGCTAAAAGGTTGCATAACTTACCTGTATATATCTGCGAGATTCCTCAGTAGGCATTATTTCGAATCGGTATTTCACATAACCTAACAACATTGAAGCATAATGCTATAAGCCACACATCATTGCCCATAAAATATGCCATTCTAATTCATTCTGAGTTAAAACTTGGGATGAGATTACATTTCATAACATGACGAGAGTGGATATATTCTTCATCAAATCCTCCTTGACCTAGTTATCTATTCAAATGGCCAACTGAATTCAATCTGTAGCTTGTAAGTTCTTTTTTCTTTTACAAGGTAAAAGTTTTATTAATAAAGGTACCAAGAAGGTGCAGAAACAAACATCCCCCCTATAATAGATTCATGTTACACAATTCCCAAGTGAATCCAAGAAATCCATATATTGATCCATATTGTCTAGCAGACTCCTCTCACACCAAAAAATAGACTGTGCAGACAAAGGTTCTTGACTCTAGAATATGGTGCTTTTTGTTCTCAAAGCAAGCACTATTTTTATCAGTCCAAATAGTCCAGAAAATACACAGAGGGATAGTCCTCCAAAACTGTTTCTGGTTGTTTGCAATCTCCTACCCTTTCCAGCTTTCCCGCATACTTCTAACATCTGAAGGCATTAGTCAAACTACACTACATCTATAGCTTCTAAGTTAATAGAAACATATAATGACCAGGTAAACATCTTTTAAGTGGCAGTACAATTGAAAAGGAACATAAAGGGTGCAACCCATGCATGAAATGCTCCAAGGCTATTTTGGGGGTAGGAGGAGAATGGGCATATATTGCACGTAACCTTCCCCTTATTTCTGCAAATAGGCTACCTCCACACCTCAAACAAATGACCTAGAGGTCACAAAAGTAGACAGTAGACACTCTACCATTGCACCAAGGCTCGGATTGAAGACGAACGTATATCAACAAATTCAGTATTAGCAGACAATATTTGTATCTAGGGCTATTAGTACAACACTCACATCTAACAAGAAATTAGCAACCTCAGGATTCATATCACTAATGGAGGAGCAGCACGGTGTTAAGGAGTTCTATTTTCTTTTTATCTCCTGGATAACACACCTAAAAAAAGTACAGTGCAGGTAATAGAAAGAGGACAGGTAGACGCCAAGAAAAATATTGGAATTTTTAAAAGTGCAAGACAGATTAATGACTCCAAAAAGGAATATGAGAAGTAACAAATAACACTCACCTTCATCACTGGGACCCAGTGAAATTTCACTGCCACACTTAATTACAACAGCATGCTCTTCCTGAACAACCGTCTCATCAACAAGAATTTCTTTCGAACTATATTAGACAAAGATGTAGATAGTAAACACACATACAACTTTGGGTGAAACAAAAAGCAAATGCAATTACCCAAGACAAAGCTGCATAGGAAAAGCACCACAGAAACAAAAGACGTCACTGACAATTGTTGAAGAGAACTATTCATTTTTAAACTGCTAGAGTCCACGAAGTACCAATTGGCGGAGACAACAAAAGCAAACAATAAAAAAAAAATCCTGATAAAACAGAATATCATTCATTGTACTGAGCGAGGGACTTAACCATTTCAGCTACCATGCTATCTCAATTATGATTCTCTTTACATCCAAAAAAGTATATGGCATAAAAAATATCTTTTTATACCACTTAATCACTTATATTCCTCTCACTAGTGACACTACTACGACATAGTTTCCTATTTCTTTTGTTCCAACTTAGCCAAAATAATGCAAAAGGCATAGTTCTCCATAATGTTGTTTATCTCCTTGCCACCTCCAGCTTTGATCGTTTCTTCTACAGTCTCTAGTGCTACCCAATCAATACTAATCAGTTAACATGCAAGATCCCACAACTATGTAATCATTTACAACATAACACGATGTGTAAGTATCTACTCTATTTTATTACACAAACAATATCAATTCCTTACATTCAACTTCTCTTATTAAGTTATGCTCCATTAATATTACATCCCTCATATACAAAGTGAAAGAATAACCTTCTTTCAAGTTTTAATGTGCCACAGTATCTTCCACACATCTCTTCCAATCCCCCCTCCGATTATTTCCCGTCAAGTCCCTATACTATCATATTCTACCCAGTGCACTCACAGCAGGCTGGATCAATCGGATGAGGGATTGATGATCTTTGCCCTTTGTCATTAAAGATAGTTGAACCAACAGCACCAGGACCATTTGACCATGTATTTCTATTCAAACTCCATGTAGATTATGCATAATGCTGGTGAGTAATAGCATCATAAGAGAGATTGAAGATCTGGTTAAGTGAATATAACTACAGGTTCAATCTCTTCATAGGAAAAAATGCAGCACCAAGCATTCTTGGGTCTAGGAGCATTAGTCCGAGCAACTTCAACTAATAAGCTTACCAAGCATGCATCAAGAAGTTACTTAATCAAATTATTAATTTATGGAGAGAGAACTCAAGGATTTTAAACCCAAAAACTAGGATTCCCTTTAGCTGATACCAAATATACCACTAAAGACCAATTACAGGACACTGGCATGCATCTCAAGTACATGAACAAAAGTTTTATCATTCCATTCATTTTTTATTGAGGGAAGGAAAGAGTATGCATTTAGCAGCATAATTTCTAGGATTTTTACTTCAAAAATCAATTTGGTCTGGAGAATGCAAAACAATCTAAAACCCAATAACTGGGTGGAAGATCACAGTTTATCTTCTCTTTTGTTAAATAGATCCATAAAGAAGTTATCGTAAACCATATACAGGACAGCATGAACCAAATACGCTAGCGCAAAATGAAATATTTACACAACCAGAAATGTTTACCTTCTAATTTGCATCATGGCAGAATCTAGATCCACATTCCTTGTTATTTTACACCAATCTTGCTTTTCAGAAGAAGAATTCTTTACTTCACTGCATATGACTGTCTCCTTCAACCTTAACTCAATTTCTGAATAGCGAGAGTCCGTCGGTACTATATTTATAAGGACAAAATGCTAGTCAATAAGCAACATTTATCTCAGTTTTCATCTTCCTTGTACTTCTAAAGAGCTAAAATCATCAAACAAGTGAAGAACGAATAGTGATTCAAATAGAAGTCTATATCACTGCACAACACAATTAACAAAGCAAATCAAGTATCACCAATATTAACTAGAAGAAAAGCATGGTGTATCCAGACTCCAGAGATTGAGGTACCTAATATTGCAAGACTGTATGGTATTATAGGATGCATAATAGGTTCCTTATCTAATAGCTATTTTGGATCTTCCTTTGGTAGCTAAACAAAAAGTTATAGTGGGTGTCTTTGAGAGGTGTGAGAAAAGACTATCCCTTGAGGGTAAGCTAGCCTTGACTAATAGTGTCTTGGATTCACTTCCTACATATGCAGTGCCATTATTTCCCTATACCTGTGAAGTAGAGAAAACACTGGACAAATTGAGAAGATACTTACAATGGGAAGGCAACAAAGACAAGAAGGTTACAAAACACTCCCTTGCCATAAAAACGTATCTGCAGATCAGAGTCTCCATACAACGTGGCTTGTTTCTCTTGGTTGGTAGCAAAAGATGCCTGCTTAAGCCATGAAGTTATAGAAAGAAGAAGCTTCCAACTTTGCAGCAGATGCTGGTTGAGTGGGTTGAGAAGTGAAAGCATTGACCATTTAACGTTGCACAGTCATGTTTCTAACCAATTGTGGCAGTTATTTTTCTGGCATGATCAGACTACAGTAAGAGTTGCCTAATCAACAAAAGAACGATTGAACTGTTGGAATGGGTTGGATAAGTAATCTCAAACTTGCAACTAATGTAGTTTAGTGCTCTCTTTATGCTATTCTGATATTAATAAATCTAGTGATTAATAAATCAAGTAAAACCACAAAATTGAGTGATAAGAAGACGAGCACAATTCCTAGTCATCTCCATCTATGGCAAAGTTGGTTCCATGGCATAAAGGAAGTGCTACAAAAAGGATAGTGATAGATCCAACACAGTGGTCAACCTCAAAACTCACACAAAGTACTAAACATAATGCTACGCTGATGTGAATCAAATCACTGAACATCACCAACATGCTTGTGAAACGGGAAGGGGGTTGAAATCAGGCTGCTTCCTTGCATCCCTCCCCTCAAACGGGAAGGGGTCAAAGGATTTATCTCCACAAAACTCTCTTTGAAGGAGCAAACCAAAATGTTTCCTAAAAATTTGAACTTTTAAAGAACAAATGTCGTTTTAAGTCAAAATCAAAATAAATAAGAACAATCCTTTTAATTCCATTATCTGCTGTAAGTTTCATAGACTATTTGGAATTTTCTGGTCACACAAGACTGACATGTTTTAATATGAAATATAAGCAAATATCTTATGCCAAATGCCATTGATCAATGATACTCTAGCAAAGCTCTGGTGTTGTAGAACACAAACTTTTAACACATAACTGGAGATCCTATTTTAACCAACTCCTGTTTATTTAATAATAATAACATAAGCAACATAAAGATCATGCTACAATTTCAAGATATGGGAAATTCAGAGCATAGATTCAAATGTAATATTTGATGATCTTATATGTGAAAATCGGCCCGAACCTTTTCCCTTCAAGTAATTCACATTGAAGTAATATTTAAAATGAACTCATTCTGATGTAGCCCTAATATTTAACAATGTAAATTGCAGGATTTGGTGTCTCCTCTATATAAACCCTATCGGCTGTCGATGATTTTATATGTTCACGGCATTTCACCATTCTATCATATCTTGGACTCACAGATAGTTAATCAATCCTCCTTCGTCCTTCCACAAAGCCAAACTACATGGATTATGCACTTCCAAAATGAAATAACACAAATGCACTAAGTACATAAATCAAAAGCAATTTAATGAAGAACTAATATGGAACAATATACAATATATTACACAAAATTAAACTGTAATAAGCAAATAGCAGGCAACTTCAACCACTACCATACTAGAAGAAACCTTAAAAATATTATCTTGGACTCTCTTTAACACCCCACAAAGTAATCAAAACATTTCAGCATTGGCATTTAAAGAAACCATCGTTGTGAGTGTAACGGAAATTCAAGTTAACCCCTTTCATGAAATAAAGAACATATTTCGGTGTAACAATTCACAATTTTGATACCCACGAAATTCTAATTTGGGTCAACCAAAGAAAATCGCAAAAAAGAAGAAGAGGAAAGACTTACAAACGTGACATTTGACAACCCTTTATAAAAGAAAGAAAATGTAAGGAATGGAGCTTACTGAGTTTGGCCCATACTTCGTCTTCGGGAAGTTTAGGAGTAGAGCTTTCTCCCTTTTCCATGGCTGTTTAAGGTGAGCGATAAAATAAAATAAAAGTCGAAGAGTTAATATATACTAGTAGAGGAGAGAAGTTGCAGTGGAAGGAACGAAGGAAGGAACAACATTGAAATTAGTCAGGAAGTCATCGATGTGGGAGTCTCGCCGTGCCATTTTTTTAGTTTTGCAGTTTTGCCCCGTTTGAATTTACACCAAGGCCCCACATTCCTAATCATAAAAAATGACAAAAATAGGCATATATGTTTAGGTTGGTGCAACCGTGCAAGAGATATGACATGAAATTTATTGATTTGAAGTTGAAAATGTAATTTGAATATTACCTCTGATTTCTATTTATATGTCGTCCTTATTAAAAATAGATGATGTTTAATATTTACTTCGTTCAACAATAGTTGTTCATTATATTTTGGAATATTCAACAATACTTTCCACTTTATGAAATCAGTGGATAATTTTACACTTATTTCCTAATTTGATATAATAATATTACCCTTCTATTTATAGTTTCTTAAGAAGTGTGCAAAGTCAATAGTAGACAGCTATTATTGAACAGAGGGAGTATTTGTCATTTTACAATATCAATGCATAAATGACACTATTTTTCCAATTTTATCCTTGAGAGTTATTAGTCTTTAAAGTATGAATTTGACCAACATAGGAAAACTAAATAATTAATTCATGTTCGTTGGTCAATTTAATTAATCAAAATAAATTATATTTGTTCATTTATTGAAAAACTTGACTTCAAGAAAATACTAAATAAGGGTACAATGGTAAACTAACATAGTTTCTTAAGGGACGTGAAATCTAAAATGATGAGATATAAATAGGAACGGAGAGAGTATTAAAGTGGTGTTTCTATGGTAAATATGGAAATCTCATAATTTGTAAAAATTATTAAAATTTTCTCAACTTTTATATATTTTTTACCAATTAAGAAAATCATGGTTCATATATAGGGTAACGAAATATTCTAAACCGTCACAATAATAAATTGCATATCTCCATATTTTTCTTATAAACTAGTTAGTGTACGAGTTTTGCAAGTGTATAGCTTACTAAATATTGTTAAATTTATAGTTAAAATTAATAATTTTTTGATATAATACATAACTTAAAATATTTATATTTAATTCATCACAAAGATGAAGCTTACCAAAAATATAAATTCAAGTGAAAAAAAAGAGTTTGGATTTTACTTTTAAATTTTTATGTACCTCCTGAAAATGATGAAGGTAAGTGATATTGTAACACTTTGGATTTGGAAAGGAAAGAAAATGCAGTTTTGGGCTGGTATCTGTATCTACGGATCTCATCTACAGAACGTTGAAGCTCATACGAGCCTTAGATAGCAACCATAGGAACTGGGAAAAATACATTTTTTAATTCGAGTCACAGTACCCTTTTTATGATTCACCAGGTGAGTCTGTCAATCTTTGTACGAGTCGTAGATAGGTCTCGTAGGTAACCCCAGACTTAGTGAAATTTTAAAGTTTAAAAGTTGATTCTACGGTTGGTATGTATGGTCCGTAGGAATACCTACGAGCCGTACATAGGATTCCGTCATAAGTGATTAACATTTGAAATTCCAGTAACCTATCTACGATTAACCAGTACGGTCCATAGAAGGGGTCCAACCGTAGATGGGGCCAGACAGTTATTTTTAAAAGGGCTTTTGGGTCGTTTCCTAATTGTTTTAACTCAATACTATGCCGTTTTAACTATTATCATGAGCCCTATATAAACGTTTTTAGTCCCAATTAACTCAGTTTCAACTTATTCTCCTAAAATCCCTAAAGTTGACCAAATTCATCCTCTCAAATTCTCTCAAATCTAAGGAGGAAGAAAAATAAGTTAGGATTTCAATCAAGTTTCCAATTTCCCCATTTTCTTGGGCTTAAAGGATCGAGGTATATGTGTATTCACCCATGGAGTTTTCCTAGGGATTTCAATTTCCAATTGATCAAATTAGGGTTTCAATTAAATAAATGTGGGTTTCTTTCAATTATGATTAATTAAGTCTTCTAATGCATTATTTGATGTTAATCTATGATATTTAGTTGAAATTGCATTTGTTCATGCCTAAATTATGTTTTTCAACCATGATTCTATGATGAGCCTATGAACTATGGATTATGAAGTTATGAAGATAAAGTTATTGTAAATGAATTGATGATGCTTTGAAAAAAAGTATTGATGTTATTGTCAAAGGATTTCTCACTTACTATGATGATCGTGATTGTGAAAGGTATTTCTCACAAATGAATTCACATTAGTGAAAGGTTTTTTCATCTATGTTGAATTATGTTTAAGAAGCTATTCTATATTTTGATCTTAGAAATATGCGGATTGGTATTGATCATTTTCTTTCCTATGTTAAAATGATATTTGACTTTTATCAATTCCGTTGGGATTTAAACTTAGTACCGAGAGGGCTTTGAGGTGGAGGCTCAAATAGGGTAGTCTCCAGTAGCAACCTCTAGTCCCTAACTACGTGCCCCCCAGGATTGTCTTAAATGACCTAGCTAGTGGATCCACTTTATTAACTGATGATATGTACGAATTCTACTTTGGCAAGTAGTTTTATTTTTCTTTCGATATGAGGGATATACCGAATTTCATGATATAGCTCTCATGGTTTTATTGTCGGTTAAAATTAATATCCCACAAAATGACTAAGTTTTCTTCAAAGCTTTTTCTTATGTCCTTTATGTTGATATACTTGACCATGTTTTCATGATTTTCATGGCATCTCGTCTTTAAAGCTTATAAATGTTCCATTATGATCATGCTTACTTGTTTTAAGTTACTTAGGTTATCATGCATATGTTTATGCATATTGCCTCATACTTAGTACATTTCATGTACTAATGCATACTTGTGCCTACATTGTTTTACTAATGTAGGGTATGACACTCTCATTCCCCATACTCGTGACTAATTGATTTGTTTGGGTATTCGAAGATTGGTGAGTCCTCATGATCCAAGGGCCAATAGTCTTTTATTGCTTTCATGTCATTTCCATTTCCAACTTTGTATGTGATGTATGAGTTACGTCTCAATCATTTTTCTTATGATGTAATAGATGGCTTTGAGACTTATGTTTAGACTTCTGATTTTGTCAAACTCTTTTGTATGAAATATTACCTTTCAACTCTTTTATTTCTATTATCTTGTATGATGCATGTTAAGTGGCTTGTGTAGGGCCTCTCAGGGTCTTATACACCATGTCACGTCTAGAGTGTACTTTGCATCATGACAAACTTGGTATTCAGATCACAAGGCTTAGAAAGGTCCTAGGATGTCTCATAGTCCACGTCAAGTAGAGTCTTGATCATGACATGATGCACATCACATTTTTGAATGGGAAGCTATAAGATGTTTAGGAAATTACAGTTCTTCCATTACTCTAAAGTGAGAAAATAGTCAAATTCATCCCTAACCTATTAGCCTATTCTCAATTACACACTTATACTTCACTGGGGTCCTATTACCCTCCTGAATTTTAAATTTTTGATATTTTTTTACCCTTGAACATTAACCTGTCCAAGAAGGTGAATACACCTCTTGTAGGCGCGTAAGGGTTAAAAAAAGACATAAAATGACTAAAATTGAATAAAATAGTCCATGTGGCAGTCTTTCATTGGAGATTATATAATTAATTCATTTTTTTTTATTTTTTCCCTTTTCTTATATCACAAAATTGTTATATCTATTTCTTCAAGTTTTTCTCAAAGTCCTTCAATGGTGATCTTCTAAATTTCGTCTCTAGGAGCTTCAAATCAGTTTGTAGCTATTGATGTTTGCTTAGCTAATCATACATCAACCGTTTTTAGCAACAATAATCACCTAACTCATAAGAAACTTTCATATATGAAGCTTAAAAATGGAGTTCAAGTTTTTTTTTTAAACCCTCAAAATTTCCGCAAAAAAATAAAATAAAATAAAAAAAAGTCAAACCACAATGAACCAGCAATGGTGAATTTGAAATTTCACTTTCTAATTTCATTCTTACCAAATTTGTTTTTCACGCCCACATTTGTGAATACTTATTTGTGGGGTTTTTTTTGGGTTCGATTTCAAATTGAAAGTTTATGTAGACTAGCTATTGAGTTGTTCTTCTTCTTTAATTTGGTGTAGAGATTTTTTCCTCATTTTCTCTTATTATTATCTAAAGAAATCATTAGTATTTTTAAAAAAACAATCTCTATTTGAAAGCATTTTTTGTAAATTTCAATCTTCAGGTTTGATAAAAATGGAAACTTTACATAATTTTACAGGGGATTATTAAATTATTGTTTTGATAAGGTTTATAATTTACAGGGAAAAAAAGAATAAAACAAAATGAATGTACAATGATTCATCGCATGTGCTGCACAACTTTGACATAAAACTGGTTATGACGTTTGAGGGAGGTGATTATTCCATATTTAAATAGTTCAGTGGGGTAATAGGACGAATAAGTGTGTAGTTGAAAATTGGCTAATAGGTTGAGGAGGCTTTTGGCTATTTTCTCCTCTAAAGTCGTGCTATAGAGTTTAACTCTATAAGTCTCTCTCTTAATCCTTATATGATGCTTTTTCAGGATATGACCCCTCAAAAAGCATATGTTAGAAGAAATGCGGGTAAGAATGTGAAACGAGAAGCTCATTAAGCTCACAAGTTTTGGCTGATCTCTTCAGCGAATAAGTGACTAATGCGAATTTTTAGGGATGCTTTACAAGTATTGTGTAAAATCTCGCTAAGTGAAAGATCTAGAATTAGAAAGAGTCATTTTTTGAAAGAATGAAAATCTGGAAATTTTGTTAAGTTATGTTAAGTATGGGTTTTTGGTCAACTTCAAATGACCATAACTCTTAGTTCAGGATGATTTAGGTGTGCTACAAGATACCGTAGGAAAGATCTTTGAATTATCTTACCAACGCCGCTGAGTTTGTATGAGTGAGATATGACCATTCAAAGTTGGGTTGTCTAGATAAGGAAAGCCAAAACCAGATTTATAAGGGGTATTTTGGTCTTT